AAGCTCATGACTCAGTGAAACTATCTTAACATATGATTTTAAGTTCTTTAAATTACATGTGAAGTGTATTGGCTTAGTGGTAAATGCTGCCATCTGGGAGAAAAAAAAAGGGGGGGGAGCTATAGCTAGCCAAGTCATTGTATCAGGGTAGGGTAGTTTTAGTGAATTGTACTGTATTTATTTGGTGTAGTGTAAAGTGACCATTGTATAGCTGTCTCACTGTCCTTTTCTGCACCAAAGAGTATCATTGGATTGCAATGAAAGTGACCTGTCAGGAAAGTTAGGATAATCCGGATAATCCTACTCGCAGTTGTCTCTCTTCATGCTTACTGAAGACTGACTGTTAACTGATTTTTCCTTGAAATTCTTTGACGTACCTAGTTTCTCAAGCAAGTAAACTCTTTAATTCAACTGAATTCAAATGACTCTTCTACCCACATACTTGAATAAAGAGAGTCAAAGCAAATTTTCAGGAAACTGAATTTAGTAGGTTAAGGGAAAAAGTGTTGTAGCAAGCAATAGGAACAGAAAATGAGAAAAATAACTGAGCATATAATTAGATCATGTCATACAGTACTTGCACAGTTACATTTTTCATGATTACTGATTATATCCTTAACTTTTTGTACTATCTTAGAGGCTATTATTTGCTTTTTTTCAATCTGGTCAATAGTTGGATTGACTGGTTTTCATTCATATTTGGTTGGCTCAAATCAAACTACAAACGAAGATGTAAGTTCTTCATCAATAATATCAAACAGGTGCAAAGTTAAACCCTTATTATGGCCCACCTTTAAATTTGTTATCATAGAATAAGCACAGAGTACCTTCTTGTCTCAAAACTCTTGGTTGCCCAGATTGTAAGGGGTTTCTTTAACCCTTTAGACCCCAACATCCATGATCATAATCTCCATACTGTTCTCCATAAATTTTCTGAGGTGCTGACAAGGAGAATAAGTTTAACAATCAAGAGTTTCTTTAGTTGGTGATCATTTCATTTATTCTTGTGATGTTAATGTGTGATTTAGGGATAGTGTTGTATGGAGAAATTCAATGCTAATCACTCTTGGAGATTAGAGGAATGGGAAAAATTAGTGCCAGGTTGCCTAGGTACAGAAGAGAGTCGCCTGTGGTACTCAGGCTCTGTTTGAGCACAGTCTAGATCCTACAGTGAGATTTTTTTAAATTGTGCTTATGTTATGTTAGTAATTATATTTATTTCTTCCCCTTGATTTGACAGATTAAAGGATCATTTTCCTCACGAAGTGGCCAAGGAAATGTCAATCCTTATAGTCGGGGCTCAGTATTGAAAAACTGTGCTGAAGTTCTTTGTGGACCACTTCAGCCCAGGTACGGTGGTTCAGCAGCTTTCACACAAAAATGATATTGGTTATAATTATGATTATGAGAATGATGATGACTATAATATAATTGTTAATAGTGACAACAATGAGCATGATGTCTGTTGTGATGGGCTGGTTTTCAACTGCTGTAATTGATGGATTCTGATCCTTATGGCCAAAGGGACAACTGCTCTAAACCAAAAAATCACAGAAGAGCATGATATTTTATAAGAATCAAACACAGTCAACTTGCTGTAATTTACATCTTTGTTGGGATTGTTGTTGTTTTTGGGTCAAGTCTCACAGCTGCTTTTGTTTGATAGTTTAATAAACAGAAGAGGTGTTATTATCCCTGAACCTCCTGAATCAGACAAGTATGGGGCAGTAAGGACATCAACAACGGCACCCATGGTGAGTGATATAGATAAATCTGTTTTACTTCTTTGCAGCTGAATTGGAGCTGCTGCAGCTGCAGTGTGTAGATAAACCAAAACCCTGGCTGGATTGCCAAGGGTCACATTGTGGTGCATTTCTAAGTAGCCTCATCTTCTTTGTCATGGCAAGGCCTGACTAACTCAAATCATGCTGAAGGATCACAATCATAAGTTTTGTTTGTGTGCTTTTTTAAATTTTGTTTTGGCTTGTATCTGCTAGAATTGCCTTTTGACCAACTGAACAATGTCGTATGTCGTTCAGATATCTATGAAGTACATAATCTACGTGTCTAAACTCTCAAGTACATGCGTTATATAATCTGTTTCTTTCTATTGCAGTCCCCCACACAATTAGGCTCAACAAATGGTGTCAGACATGATGCCAGTAGAGCAGAGGGTGAACAAAACAAGTTATTACCCAAGGCACAAGAACAAGACAGTCTCCAAGCTGACAGTGAAAAGGGACTTGTTAAATTAAGCAGTGTTTGAACAATAACCTGTACCTACATGTGTATGGATCTACAGTCTTAACATTTGTTCGGTGTAACAACAGTTAAAACATGGAATTAAGTTTCAGTATTGAAGGTTCCATCGGTGTTTGTCTCAGGGTCGAGGGTGTTGTTTTACAGGTCCCATGTAATGTACCATTTTGTCAGTAGAAGGGATTAGCACAAGACTGGAGCATTTATCCAAAGGAAAAGCAGTGGACACTACTTACAGCAAAGCAGTACACCCATTATGAACTTCAAGTAATGATCAACTTACTAAATCATTAGCCCCATTTTATTACTTATTGTAGGAGTCCTTGCATGTATCAAGCCATGATACCCTATGACGAGTGCAGAGTCAGGGTTTTGCTCTGATTTCTGAGGTGACCTAATGTGTCTGACAAGCAGAGAGCAGTGGAGATCAATAGTTACTGATTCATAATATCTTCTAGGCAGAATATTGAGGTGACAGCATGAGTAGCCAACAAAGCCATGCATGTAGTAACTGGCAAAGCACCTCTGCCTCTGGCCCTCATTTACAATCCTGCTGTATATTTTAGTTAAGATTATCAAACAACGAGCTTGACATCAACATTTCAGAGAGTAAACCAAGCTTTAAGGGTATCCACACTGACAATAACTTGTAATTTTAGTGGTCAATATCTCACAATTGTACCCAGCTCTTAGTATTTTATGCTGTTTTACAGCTAAGTGTGTGATTTCCTTGAATTTCATCTTATGCATTTCATTGTTAGTGGAAATCAAAATACATGTCTTGAGCACTAATTCAAATACTAATGAAGAATATCATGGTTCTCCAAGAACTTTACACCCTGAACAGCTTTGGTTTACACTCACTTGAGAATATTTCAGGCAATCAATCATTTTAGGTTTTTCAAATCAGTAGGAACATCATTAGGAAATACAACTACTGATCAGAGGTTGTCTCACATTTGAAGGAAATTGTGACTCTTTTTAGTATTGTTATGGCCTGTTGATTTACAGTGGTTTCCAGATATTGTAAGACATGACAAATAACATTGAAAATGTACTTGATAATTAAAGTTTTGGTTTTGGAATTGAGGGTAGTATGTTACTGTTTTTGATCTAAGTAGTCATTTAAAAACTTCAATCTGCAATGGAAAAATTATTTAATTGGCAATATGCAAGGAAATTTAATACTTCCTAGCTCCATTTTGTCAGCATTTTGATTTTTAATTACAAAGGTGAGGGCTTTTTTTTTTTAACTGTGTAGAAATTATTTAAATTTTTTATCACTAATCATTACATATTTAATGGTTAGTAGGCACATCAAGGGATATATCTTACTCTGATTTCTCACAATTCTCCCTTAATGTTGTCCACAAATTCACTCCTAGGAGTGACTAAAGACAAACTTTCCTGCACAAAAAAAAATGAATCCTTTACAAACGGGAAGGTAATGAGAGGAAAGGAAATTATGAATCAGAGGATATGGGTTAATTTGACACCAAATTTCTCAAAGCTAGAATTATAAGAGCAGTTTGGCATGCAGTGTTAAGAATTTATAATTTGATCTTGGGATTTTAAGAGGTAAGCAGATGAAGAGCAGAAACAAAAGCCTAATTTACATGGAAGGAGGTTTGCTTAAGAACATCACTTGCTGCTCATTTGTGCAGATTGTTCACTTTCTGTTAAATATGGTGAAAATGTAACCTTCATTCATTAACTACTCTAACAACAAATGTCACACTTCTAGAAAACTATTTTAAATACCACTAATAATAGTTTTTTTACTGTTGGTCTACTGTAAGGTAGTCATGGTCACAGTTGCTACTCCAATGACATGATCTATATTGAGACTGGCTTCAATTGAAGTTCAAGTCATGCCATGGTCCGATGCAAAAGTTGTTCTGTTAAGTTTCACCTTGAAGGATCCTATTTCTCTAGGTTTCTGTTAGAAACAATTTTTTTTCCTCCCAAAATTATAACAGGTGGATGCAAACTATCTTGGCTTTAGTTCTTTTTTGTCCAGCCAAGAGGACATTTTATACATAAAATCACTATCCAGCAAGTCCCCATACATGCCCACAACCTTGGATACATATGCAGTGCTGAGAGGGACAAGCCTGTTTGTGATGCTCAAAACTACTTGTGAAGCATGGAATGGAGAACACAGATTTGACTAAGCACTAGGGCCACTTGGATTGTTACATAAAATTGAAATATTGGTACTACTCTTCAACTGGTTTCAAATACACATCAAATGCTACATAATTACAGATGTTCACCTCACAACCAATGTCTTGGTTTTTATTTTCACACTTTTATTAACTGGTATTGGTCTTAAAATTTATCTTAACTACAGATGCTGTATGGTTGTATGTCTATCTCACAACCCTTGCTTTAGTCTGTATATTCACACTTCCCATTCATGCTAAGAGGAAATGAAGAGAAGTGGTTCTTCTTTCCTGGAAAATCAGTTGAGGTGCATTGCCAACCTAACATGTCACTGCACTAAAAAAGATGTGTCACAGTAACACTTTTTTGGAGGGGCACATTCTCATTACAAGTATATTCATTTGATTTCATATCCAAAATAATGCAGTTTCTAATAACATATTACAGTGACTTAATCACAGACAAACTTCTAGTATCATCTAACACACCAAACTAAATATAACTACCACATAAGCTGATTACTCGAGATGTAAGTTATAATCAAAATGCATGTTATTACTTTTAATTGAATTGTACTTCCATTCACCTGATTGGAGTACATCCAATATACTAATATTCCTTTGTCATGAATGGAAATGCTTACCAGCACCACTAACTAAAACATCCTTCTTTTATGGACCACATATCCAGGTTGAAGAAGTACTGTGAACTATAGAGCACATATTTTTTCATATGTTCAAAAAGCACTTAAACTTATTTTATGAATTTGTTTTACCAATAGTTGTTGGAGGTTAGGAAGATTGAAGGCAAATGTTGAAAATACACCAACAGGCAAACAAAAAACTAATAATAATAATAATATACTTTCATTATCTCTGACAGAGGTAATTATCATTGCTACAGATTAAAGTCCCCTAGACTCCATCATCACTGCCTCCAAAAGTTGGCATAGGAGAAATAGGGGTATACTCATTCATCAGACATGTCATCACAGCCTAAGGAAGAGACACAAAAGAACCACAGTTAATGACCTATGACGCATTCCCTCTAATTTAGCAAAATCCTCAATTTGGTGTTGACAATAATCCAGCATTACAAGGCATTAGTGTCTCTCCATCATTTAAGAGTTTCAAAAACCCTTAAGTTTGATACCAGGCTAAGTGCATTTGACCTTTCTTGTAAAAAAATGACTCCTGTTTGGAGTATCACTACCTTCCCCCCCGGAGGGCTTGCTAGTCCATCGCAAGGTTACCCCCAGCATTTCATCAGGCTTCCCTGACAATTTGCTGGTACCTTCTTTTATTCCTGGGTGGAGAGAAGCACTAAGAGTAGAGTAGAATTATTTGCCCAAGAACATAACACATTGACTCAACCAGGTCTCGAACCCTAACCTCTTGACACAGTGTCCAGCACACCATGTGTCCCTCTTCTCATTTATATGGAAATATTAAAATCATTTTTGTGCAAAAGGGTTTGCACTTACACCTACTACAAATCAGAGGCTTTAGGTATGTAATATGTGGCCTGATAAGACCACTATTGGCCATCGTTTACCTCCACATAATGAAGAAAGTTCTTAATCACAAGAAAATAAGACTTCCATAAGCAGCGGTCAAACTAACTGATCCAACTTACCATTATAGTCCACTTCCTGTTTTCTGCCTCCTGCCAAACCAATGACTTGTCAGAAAGAAACACTTCATCGCTCACCTCGTAAGGTTTCCGTGGCAGGCAGTGGAGGAAAACAGCCTCTTCCTTGGCAAGAGACATCAACTAACAAAAGAATAAAGTTTAAACTTGTGCTCATCCTATAATAAGCAGAGTTTGTAGTAACCTTACAGGTTATAAAAGTGGAAAAAATAATGATTTTCAAAATAAGTTTAAAGAATCCATCAGCTAAAGCAGTCAAAATCCTTCACCCCCAAACATGCAAAAACATTACCAGTCAATCTGCAAAAAAGAAAATATGCAAGACTTCACATTAACCTCATTCACTATTAGAGCCCACCTTAGTGTCAACTTGGAAGCCTGAAAAAGATTTGAGTCTTGCTGCTTTTTCTTCTTCCTGGCCCATACTGACCCATGTGTCAGTGACAATCACATCTGCATTGGAACATGCCTCTCTGGGATCTGTTGTGAAGTTCACTGATGTGTTTTGCTAAAAAGAAGGATTGGCACACATCATCAAAGATTACTGTGTATTTTTATGGTCAACAATCATAGAGAGACCACAGATTCCTACCTCTTGGGCAAAGCTTTGAGAAACTTTTGTGATTTCATTGTCTGGCTCATAGCCCTGATATACAAAAGAAAAACAGTATCAATGAATACATATGGTGAATAAGGTGTCTTAAATATCTCTTGACTTGGTGGGGCAATAAACTGGTCATCACTTTGTTCTTGACATGAAACCTGGCTGCAATTTGACTTTCAAAAAACTGTTGACACCCAACATTGGAAGTTCTTTGAGAGGAGAGGGTAAAGCATCTTCAGACCCTACCTCAACAAAACTCTCAAATTTGACTTCACAATCTCCTCAAAAATAGATTTGACCGATTTGAGTTGCAAACAATTTCAGCTTGTTTAACACTAAACAGCTTCTTTCAGACTCCCAAGATCTCATTAGTGATTCTCCTTAGTATCTCCCATACAGGTCATGTGATATTAGTTTGGAGAATTTGGTATTGGATCATCTAATAATGCCTAAACTGATATTTTCCTTATTCTCATCACTTGTCTGCTTGATGTTGTATTGATATTGTAAGGAGAAATTCTGTCTTAGTCACTCATGGGAGTTAAAGGGTTAATGAGCGATCAGGGGTTATACTGTAATGAGAAATAAGTAACTGTCCCTCTTTGAGATCAAAGGATTCAATTCAACTTGCTACAGATTATGTTTATAAGTGGCCAAGGAACACAAATCTCTATGGAGGCTAACTAGACCTTTGGAGTTGCAATGTTCAGGTGCATTCCAAATTTTGGAGCTGCCATCATAAATGAATGAATAATGTTGTTCCCATCTCCAACCCAGGCAATGGTGCGGCCATGTAGGCTGTCAAAATGTTCCTTGGAAATTAAAAAAATGTGATATAGTCAATGCAGGAATCTCTTCAAAAAAACCAATACTATCATAATAACATTTTCACCACATGTGAACTGCCTACTTTGGCTTTAATGAACCTGGAAAATTCAGTTAATTAATTTAAATGGAAGTGTGTCTCCAAGGAAGAGTTGTCATAAAAAAAACAATTCATGACTTAAAATTACCTGTAGTGTTAAAAGGTCTGCAAGTATCTGAATAGGGTGGTACATGTCTGATAAACCACTGCAAAAATCAAATTTATACACCTTGGACTCTATTCAATTGATATGAGAACTTAAGGAAGAAAAATCAGAAAAAGAGAACAGGGGAAGGAAATCTGGGAGGAGTGAAAGCAAAAGAAAAGGAGGCAACATAAGAGGAACAGAGAAACCACATGATATTGGCATGGAAATTCCAGGTCTGTATTGTAAAAAGCTAGCCAATCAGATTTGAGGATTTGAGGATTCCACCTACTGAGATGCTTCAGAAAAATTAAGTATACTGGGTACATTATTTAAACCCCTTTACTTCCAAGATCTTGTTAGTTATTCTTCGTAGTGTCTGCCATACAATTCATGCGATTTTAGTTGGGAGAATTTTGTACTGGATCAACTAATACCCCCAAGATCTCATTAGTTACTCTTCCTACTGTCTGCCGTACAATTCATGTGATTTCAGTTGAGAGAATTTTGTACTAGATCAACTAATAATCCCAAGATCTCATTAGTTATTCTTCCAACTGTCTGCCATACAATTCATGTGATTTTAGTTAAAAGAATTTTTTATTGGATCAACTAATAATCCCCTAATGGATATTTCAAACATTATTCTCATCACTTTTCTGCTTGAGATTGTTTCGGTATTGTGAGGTGAAATTCTGTTTTGGTCACTTATTGTATGGAGTCAAAGGTTAGAAACTGGCTTCTATGGCATAAGGAACAAGATTGTTAATATTAGATCCTGCAACAAGGTATAAAGGGGGTAAGTTCCTAGAACAAAAATTTATCTTTCAAATCGGCACTCTTAATCCCCATGGTATCAACAAGCACTTTTTATTTTAATAATTTATTCTTTTTTTTCTTGTTACTACATTTCCACCAATAGCGCAGCTCCACTTTCAGCAAATAAACACACACATAAAACCCATAAATCCTCCAATTGTAACTCTTAACAGCAGTCAGTTTATGTTATCAACTCAGTTGATGATACCAAATTACCCTGAATCAAGGTACCTGATAACTGGAATAGTGGCATGTTCTGCCATTACTTCAAGATCCTTCTGTTCATATACCCTTGCCAAGATAAAATCACAGAATCCTGAAAGAACCCTGTAAATAACCGATGATTAAAAAAGGAAGATAGAATACTGACAACAAAACATATAATAGTAGTCCTGACATATTTATTTCTAGGCCAATTTATTGCATCACCATTCCAATGTATCACTAACTGTAGCCATTTCATTGCAGTTAAAAATAAATGAAATTAATTCTTTGCACTATCTCCTTTACATTTCTTATGATTTTATTTCTGAAAATTTTAGTACACATTTTTTTTTCTTGTTACTCGCCTATTTAAAATGTATTTGATAATATTAGGAGAATACCCTTTCAGGTCCCTCCCATGGGTGAAAAAGTTAAAAGAGAGAGAACATATACTAAAAAACTGTCACAGCGTTATTTATAAATGACCCCAAAACAGCTAAATGGACTTAAGAAATATCATTAAGTTAAGTAAATATAAACATGATCTTTTAGTTAATTATTTTCTCTACATACTTGGCTGTGTCTATAGCTGATTCGTTGACTCCAAGATGAATATCACTGTCTGTGAGAAATACAGAATGTCCTCCAAGAAGGGCAAGACCTGAAAGTTTAAGAAAAGTTAAATAGGACTTTGCAACCTGTATTACAGTCTTCTGGCTGAAAAATCCATCCATAACATACCAGTTTCTGTTGAAACTCTTGTTCGTGTGCTACGTTTCTGGAAAATAAGAGCAGCTGATTTGCCTTCCAACAGCCGTACAGTCTGAAGATCAAATAAAAACGAAAGGGGAAGTGCTCACAATGGACTAAACTGATCAGTGCTCTGTGTGTTTTCATCATTGCTCAGTAAACATAAAGTTTATTGGAGAAATGAGAGTGTCTTAATTTTGGCTCTTTATATACAATTACCTTGAAACCAACAGTAGCATTATTGGATTGCATCAGTATGTCAAGATTCACTTGTTTTGAAAAAGTTAAAAAACAAACATGCCAGGAATGTTATTAAGGAACAGCTATAAAAAATACAAAACCATTTCAAAAGAAAAATCAAGCAGGCTCTGATTCCACAAATTATCTAGACTTTCAGAGAGGTACATGGTCTTTAAAGAATCTATCCAAGTAATAAAACATTAGCCATACAAAGCAAAGACAATCATAGCCCTACCTCATTCCCGTTTTTAATTCTTTGCTTTAGATCAGCTGCAGTCCACAGAAGATATCCAATCTCATCACTAGTAAAGTCTTTCAGAGTAAGAAGATTCCTCCCAACAACAGATGGAAACCCATGGCTATGGAGAGTTCAAAGCTTCAATGTGTTTATAAGACAATACATTTTATCAACCCCATGAGTGATCAAGACAGAATTTCTCCTCACAATTTTAATACAAAATCAAGAAGAAATACTATATGAATAAAGAAAGTATCATTCAGGGGATTTTAAGCAGATCCAATATCAAATTCTCCAAACTAACGTCATGAGAATTGTATGGCAGACAGTAAGGAGAATTACTTATGAGGTCCCGACAGTCAAAGGGTTAATTATTCCTAAAATCTCAACAAAATATTTGCTTTGAATATCTTATCTGAACCCCTTATCAACAAAGGGGAAAACGGTAGAAGTTCTCTTAGAGCTAGCCAGTTTTCAGATGCATTTTTTTTAAAGAGATTCCAAAAATCAATTGTTCTTAATAATATATTACTGTTCTAAAAAGAGGCTAATATAATTAATTGAAAATAACTTGCAAAGTACAGCTTGATACAGTTAGAGATTGAAAGTGTGACAGAATAGTAACCTGAGATGTTAAGGAATCACATTCTTTTTCATCGACTAATTAAGAAAACTGACAATTTTTAATTCTGTAATAAATTAAAAATGTTTTAATCGATCACATCAAGGTGAGGTTGGAACAATAGACCACGAGAGGAACATAAAATCCCTGATTGCTCTTTACCTTGTACTACAGTGCCTCTTTGAAGAAAGAGCTGCTATTATTCTGCAATGACCATTTAAAGGTTCTCTTCCTTTCATAGCTCCAGATATAGAGGAACAAATCCGAAAGCAGCTTCGAAATAATCGATTGGAAGCCATTTTGATTCAGTTTTTGTGACGGGTTTATAAACCGACGTGTCACGAAAACTCGCGAGAGTTCCCGAGCTATACGAATTTTTTTTGGCGGGAGTAACGCATGAAACACGCTGATTGGATACTAGATATTTTTCGTAGAAACCAAGATGGCGTCGGACGACGAGGATGTGCCAGGTTTGTTTATCTTTTTAGTTTCCCTTTGTTGTTAGGTTAAAACTTTTCCATAACTGCTGTACAACTGATAAATCGTTATTTAGGGGTGTGTCACATTTTGCATTTAAATCGTAAATTTTGGTTTGCTTTGCTGCAGATTCTGGCGCGGTGTTTACATTTGGCAAGAGCCGTTTCTTGGACAACAAATTTTGGATTCGCGATGATGCAGTCATCCACCTCTCTTGTGGAGACGAGCATTCCGCCGTCGTTACAGGTAGCCTTGACCAATATATTTTTCTACGTTAAGCTTTCTTATCACCTTTTCCGTTTCTAAGTGTATTAATTTTTTGCGTTTAAAATTCGACAAGCTGTACACAGTGATCAATCTGTGCGATCGAAGTAGAAATCTTTCCTTAAAATACTGGAAAACACTGATTTCAAGGTAACAATGTACTTTATTACGCAGAAAATGGAAAGCTCTACACGTTTGGAAGCAATGATTGGGGACAGCTGGGTCATGGTAGCACAGTACAGTTTCCTAATCCAAAGCTTGTCAAACGTAAGTTTTATTACATTAAGGATGACAAATTTTGAAATGTGGCAGTTGCAGAACAGTTCGAGTAATTAAATTGATCTCATTGCGAAAGTGGAGGAGAGATTATTAAGTTTCATAATTGAAAGCTATAACGAGAAAACAACCCGGTTCTCGTTAGAGATGCGAGTTATTGAAAAGCGGCGTGCAATTTTTATTTGAATTTGTATGTTTGCGTATTGTGCCTCTTAAATGTAACCTATTTTAATAAGTGTTTTAATTACAGTTACTTCTGACATGAATAATTTATCGGGTTTTTTCATTTATGATGACAGTAATATCCTTGATCACCTACACATTCAATATTCCTTTTTGTTTGTTATTTTTATACTGAAAATATACTCTAGAATAATTGTCTTAACTTTCTAGCCGTCATTTTATTGTTAACAATTTCTTATATATGGTGAATTTAACATGTTACATCATCCTCTTATTTAAGTGTAAGGAAAAAATTATCATAATAAGAGGCAAAAAAATAGTGAAAGTCTCCCAACCATGTTCCTTCCTTAGGTCTCCCACATCTAAGTCTTTACTACTGTCTTTTGAATTTTACACCTCATTGCTAAATCTTGTATTTGT